TAAATTATCTCAGTTACATGATCACGTGATTTAAGGATAAAAATAATGATGTTTTTGTACACTTCAACTAGGTTGAAAATCTCTTCAAATAGTTAAAGAACTTTGTTGTTAACCTTACACTAGTTTGATTACTACTAAATCATATATTGTTGACCTTATCTCTAGTCTTACCATATCCCATAAAATTATTTCGACTTTTTAGGAGAAAAGTAAGAATTTCATGGTTTATAATTATTTTGATCTTTATAATAACCCTTACATTATGACTTGTTAGAATAATTTTATCTTATCATGATCTTTAAAGCTATTGATTTTTCATGATCATTTTTTGTTTATTGCTAAACTTTACTTTTATTGGGGGTTATTGTTATTTTTTACAATATTGATTATTTGATAATATTGTCCACTTACACTCTTTTTATAAACCAATATTTTCTTTTTAGTAGTTGTTATTATTTGCCTTTGTTTGCGTTTTTGCACCAAATGCCCCCAATTTGAGAAATAGAAATTTAAGCTTTGATAAAGTGTTGAACCCATTTACTAGACCTTTTAATTCATGCTTATAATTTGATAATTTACTAAATATGTGAGTGAAGTGGTGTTATTTCTCTTTAGTGATATTCATTGAGATTCTTTCATAATAACTTATTGTATGTATGTATATGTATTTAGGCTAGCGAATAATATTAATTTTATATAAAAAATATGTTAAATATGTAAATTAACCAAATCAAATAGCAAACTTAGATATATTATGTGAATAATTTACCTCTTTATTATTTTACTCTACTAATTTGTATACTTAATATTAAGGTAACTGAGTTAGAGAAGAATGAGGTAGGGGTATACATCGATCAATTTGGCTTTTTTTAGTTAAAAAATTTCAAAGTCGAACAAACCAATCTAATTCTAAAAACCAACATATTTACCTACATGGACCTAAAACCAATTTAAATGATTTTGTTAGATTAATTCAGTTCAAAATTAATTAAATGAGTAGCATAAGGTGGTTGGATGTATGCTGTTATTATGGATGAACTATCGAATGCATAGTGAACTTGAATTTTGTGCGTGCTTGCATGATCTTAAGTGACAATATAGAAGATATATGCAGTTGTAGAAGAGGATAACATGATGATGGCACTCGATGATGACGAGTGGAGGCATGGTTTACATGGTCTAAAGGTGGGGCTATCATGTTGTGGCATGTGATTAGGACTTGACTTTAGGCAAGAGATGGAGAAAAGAGAGTTGGTGAGTGGTGAAGAGAAGTGAGGTTAAGTGTTAATGGTGAGAAGAGACATGGTCCGTGTGCCGTAGAGATGGAGCTATGACATGTGGTCAGGGTTTGATTTCATGTGAGAGATGGAGAAAAGGAGCTAGAGAGTGGTGAATAAAAGTGAAGATGTGGAGTTGACGACACTCAACAATGATGAGTGGACATGATCCCCCTAGCATTAAGGTGGAATTAGACTGTGATTAGATTTGCGTCATGTAAGATATGGAGAAAAGGGAACTAGTGAATAGTGAAGATAACTAAGACTGAAGATGGGGTAATTTCGAGAGTCCAAGTAACTAAGAGTTTTTTTAAAAAAATTTATTATATTATATATAAAATATAAACTAAATTTTAGTTTAATTAGGTTCCGTAAAATGACGAATCATAATTAAATTGATCAAAAAATTGGAAAACGAACAAACTGTTTAACCAATTCAACCAAATTGGACGTCCTAATTGATCCAGTTTAAACCAATTAAATTAGTTTACTTCCAGTTGGTTGTATTTAGCTGCTATACATGCATGGATACATTAGCCCATCTTTTATTATTAACACTATTAACTAGATACTGCACGTAAAGGCATCATTATCTCTTAATTTATTATCATATGTAAATATAATATTATAACGACGTAATTAATTTATTTTATTAATTAGATATTTATATTCTATCAATTAAATTATTTGGTATATTTAAATAAAATAGATTATATTTTTAGTTTGAAAAATTAAAAGCGATTTTAATTATTAAAAGAATATGCAATGTAGGTATAAAAAAAAATACTCGGATAATATTTAAATTACTTGATTTTATATTATTATATACTAAGATCAAATTCAAATGACTTATAAATAAATAATATATTTTTTTAGATAAAAAATTCATAACATTCAATTAAATTGGATGAAACCCATCATGGTGAAACTTGGAGGTTCGTGCATTATAACAAATGAGTCCAGAACTGTAAGACTCTTTTCCCAGTAAAAGAATTTGTTGCAGGATAAAAGACTTTTTATGAAAAAACATACATGAGAAATATCTTACATCTTTAATAAGAAGGCTTAGTTCATAAAAAAAAATTTGTCAAATGATGTGAAGGAAACTTAAACACCAGCTGGAAATTACTCTTAACTAATATATCATATATATGCAACCGTTAATATCCATATTATATGGGTATAATAATTAACTCATACAAAAAAAAAAAAAAAAAAAAAAAACATAATCCTTCTTATCCAGTCTTTGCAAACAATACCAACACTTATTTCATCTCTAATATATTATTTCAGCATCGATGTTGAGTTATGAGCTTCAAATTGGTAGTGGATTTCAATATACCATTTGACGGACACTTTGCATATCGTACTCCACTTAGGGTTATAATCCAAAATTTTGGTTTAAATATTGGATCGTATTAAATTTTTTTTTTTTTATTTATTTATGTAGCTAATTAATTGGCCTATGAGATTCGCCCCATTTATTATGATTTATTCTCTACCGTACATCTCACAAAGTAAACATAAACAATTATCAGAGTTGAAAGTAAACATAGCAAATATTTTTATTAAACCATTCAAAGAAAGCTATGTAGATGTGATGTAAGTACCTTAGTTGATACACCATACTTTATCGGTATATTCACACGTTATGAATAGGTGGTATGTAAGTCTTTTTTTCTTCATCTACGCGTGTAATATAACAACCACTTGAACTTCCCTCCACTCGACGAGCTTTTTACTGGCATGACATTCCAACATAATTGCTATATTATGCTCCTACTTATATCATAGGTTGTAGATTTTTATATATTATGCTAATAGTCTTTATATATATACATATATATTTATATTCAAATAATAATTAATGATGTGATATCGAATTTATTTTATAATTAAACGTTACTATGTGTAATGTTTAAATTAAAAAAGCATAAATTACAATAATTATTTTAGTCATCGATAAATATATTAAATTTAATATTATTTTTACAACATATTCGCTAACAGTAATGAATTTGAACACACTTCTATATGAATTAAATAATTAAACAGAATAAAAAATAAATTTGAGTACATAGTCACATAAATTAAAAAAATTTTAATTGTAAAATTTTATTTTAGTTATTATTAAATATTTTATAAATGCAATATATCTATCATAAAATTGAATGCATAATATCTAACATAAATAAATAAAAATATTGCATAATCCATTTGAATAAGTAAGAAAATTCAATAAAATAAAAATATTAATAAAAACATACATCAACCCTCAACGTTACATATATACACACACACATTGAAGATTATATATTTTACATTAATATTACAACCATCATATTTTAAACAATAAATAAAAAAAATCGTGTATGCGATTAAAATGTCAGTTTTAATTAATTAATTAATAGGGCTTATATGCCTATTTTTACATATTATAGCAATATATTATTATTATGTTTAAAAATGTCACTTACTATTGAACAAAAATGAAAATAAATATTTTAGCATTATATTATTAAAACAAGTAGAAAACGACTATCATTTTAGTAAGATTTTATAATTGTATTGAATTAATTCATGAAAATATACATCTAATAATATGTAATAATTAAAAGAATAATCAAATAAAACAACTAATAACTATAAATAATTAAAATTATTGGGCATGGTCGCCAAAAGAGCCCCTTTCTATTTCTGTCTCTTTGTGCCTTTTCTTGTGAACTTCGTATTTCTGTGGTTGGCAATACTTCAACGAATCAACTTCATACTTGTCCGAGCGTCTCCATTTTCTATTTGAGATAACCAATACTCGTTCGTTTTACCTGACCATAACTGAGTATTTCCTCTGCGCTTCTCGTCCACCTCTTTCCCTTCTTCATCCAACTGCCAAACCATAGCCTAAGCAAGTTGAACTGAAGTTCTGGGTGGTACATCAATGGAGTTAGTCCACCAAAATTGCATCCACGTCTCTCGGTTTTATTCTCCTCATCACCAAACCAAGACTAACGCCATTCTAGAGCGAAGGAATGCGCAATCGCGAGCAATGTTTTCGTTCCAAGGCACGCGGAAAAGAAGCCGCCGCAGATTCTCGCCTCTTCGTGTTTCGAATTTGGCGTCGACGCGTCGGAGTAAAATCTCCACCAACGGTGCAATAACAAGGAGCACAACACCTACTAGAGAAATCGAGGGATCCGAGGGCGTACTAATCGGAAAGTCTAGCAGTGCAATGGAACAGCTAGATATCGAGCGTGGTGTTTGCGTGCCGTTTCGCAAGTACTCTCCGGAGACAGTATGATTGCAACTGTAATTCCGTTTGTTTCTTTTATGTTTGTTCTGTTTTGTTTAGTCTCTTTTTGCTTTGACTAGTGACTGTTGATGAATTTCCAAAGGAAGATTATTATTTTTGAAAAAAGTCTGTCCAGATTTTGTTGCTCGCCTATTTGTGCCTAGTTAGGTGAAAATTCCATAATTCATTGCTATAACTAGAACCTTTGCTCAATCTAATTGCTTCATGTACCTCTAGTTTGATATGAATTTTATATTGCTGTCTTTCGAGTTCTGATACTGCTCGTAATTGGCGACTAGGTGAGGAATAAGGTACTGGAATCTAAAGGAGCAATTCTATCGCTTGCTTTACGTGGTGTGGAAATAGTCTGGAATTTGGGCTTATATTGGTCCACCTTGATGTACGATTTCTTTGTCGGGAGGGACGAGGAGGTTGTTCCATATCGTGCAAGGCAGCTTAGAAATCTTTTATGTAATTTGGGGCCTTCTTTCATCAAAGCTGGACAGGTTTGTTGCATTTCTTTTCAGCGCAAACTTTTGTTTTGATTTACTTCTCTAAATTCTCTACCGTTGTCCAAATTTTGGCAAGAATATGATCAAGCATATATATCTATATATATATATATATATATATATATATTCCAATTAAGTTGGCCATTGCAGATGTGATATTTATTCACTTATCAAAATTACCATTTTAAACTACGTGTTTATTTAATTTATATTGTTATTTTCTGTTTTTTCTTTGCAGGTTCTTGCAAACAGACCTGATATCATTCGAGAAGATTATATGAATGAACTCTGCATACTTCAAGATGATGTTCCTCCTTTCCCCAATCAGGTAAAAACACTCTCACTCTTTTAAACCATCAGTTTTCATGCATCACTTGTTTTACTTAAAACATGAATTGTTTTATAGGTTGCTTTTAACATTATAGAGGAGGAACTCGGTCAACCCCTTGAAGCTGTCTTCAGCAAAATATCACCACAGACAATAGCAGCTGCAAGTTTGGGTCAAGTTTATCGAGCTACTCTACGAGCCTCCGGAGAAGATGTTGCGATCAAGGTTGTTTTAGTGTCACTCGGTGGCCTTTCGTGTTAGCTATTTTCTTCAGTGGCTGTTGTGGATTTGTCCCATTCACAAAATAACGATCTATGTGATGGGTCTTCTGAAAATGGATATTCACTGCTTCATTCATGTTCTTGAAGATCAAATAACACGTATCTTCTGGCATCATGCTGTTATGTTTGACAAATTTGTGCAAAGTGCATTTTGAGAGCTAAAATTTTGCATGATATAGCCACTGACTAATGTCTCTGCAGCTTTTTCATGAATATTAACAGTGTTTTAGTTTGTTTGCTCCATTATGTTGCAGCATGATTGCCCAAAAGTTCCCTCTAATGTTTTGGGGATCTTTTTCTAATTAAAAATTTGTGGACTTACAGGTGCAGAGGCCTGAGATAGAGCCTATAATTTACCGGGACCTTTTTCTATTTCGAACTCTTGCATCATTCTTAAATGGCATAAGCCTACAGAAACTGGGCTGTAATGCTGAGCTGATAGTTGATGAGTTTGGAGAAAAGCTTTTGGAGGAGCTTGATTACACCTTGGTATCTTTACAGTATAAATTTATCCCTCTCTTTAGCGTTGCTTTTATCATATCTGGATCTTGTCAACCAAACAACTAAAGTAGATCAACTGCAATAGTGCATGTAACACTCAGTTGAGTTATGTATTTGACTATTCTGCTTTTACTAATTTAGGAAGCTCTTAATATTGAAGACTTCATAGAGAATTTCAAAGATGATCCAACCGTCAAGATTCCTCGGGTTTACAAAAATCTTTCTGGTTCACGTGTTTTAGTGATGGAATGGATTGATGGCATCCGTTGCACTAATCCACAGGTTTTGTTGTCAAGATTTGGCTTTTGTCAATGAATGATTGTTTCACCCGAAAGCAACATTATGAAGATCAGTATATGTAATGCCTTACTTCGATTGTGAATCAGGCCATCAAGGAAGCTGGAATTGATGTAAATGGATTCCTAACAGTTGGAGTGAGTGCTGCTCTTAGGCAATTGCTAGAATTTGGATTATTTCATGGAGATCCACATCCTGCAAATATTTTTGCTATGCGTGATGGGCGTATTGCCTATGTGGATTTTGGGAATGTAGCTGTACTTAGTCAGGTAAAGATATATTTCCAAAAGTTTATAATTGTAATTCTGGAGAAGTGCTTATGTGCATTATAATGCCATCAGTATGTGTTTCTCTTTATTTAATTAGAGTGTTCATGGTTGTTTATTAGGGTTGCATATTGATATGCTTTTTGTCTTTCAGCAAAATAAGCAGATTTTGATTGATGCTGTTGTCCATGCTGTTAATGAGGATTATGCTGAGATGGCAAATGATTTCACCAGGCTCGGTTTCTTGGCTAGTGGGACTGATGTTTCTCCAATTATTCCAGCTTTAGAAGCTATCTGGCAGAACTCTGCTGGCAAAGGACTCTCTGATTTCAATTTCCGAAGTGTAACTGGTAATCAAAATCCCTTCATTTGCGCTACTTTAAGGTTGTTTCTCTAGCATGCAGTGGTCAGACCAGAAATTTTATGAAGGCAGGTTGTGTTAAATTTCATTGTCGAAATGGAGTGCGATTGCAGGGTCAAAAAACCCTGCTGTACAGTGCATAGAGTGGTGGAAGTGCTTTAAATCTTAGTTGTACTTTTTAACTTGTATTAATTTATTTTTAGTTATTGTATGAATCAATATTTCTCTACCATATAAATATAACATATTCACTAATACACACACACACACACACACACATATACATACAAAGAAAAAACGAAACATTAGATGCTAGAAATCTAAGAATGAGAAGTTAATGAAATATCTTAGTAATAGAAAATATTTAAGAATTAAATAGGTTGCCAATTACTACATTGCACTTAAATTTTAGTAAATGTTTAGTAATAGAGGAGGATTTACGTGTAATATATTATACATATTACATATTGAAGGGGTTGAGTACATAAGGTTTGCAAATGAGAGCGGGAGCCTGGGGGAGGGTCGGGGGCACAATCCCCTTTCCTGCACTCCCTAGGGTCTGCACCTGCTAGTTTGTGAGTGTGCTCACATGTTCCATGGTTTACTGGGTGTATGCACCTTTATAAAATTTGTGTTATATGTGGTGCAGGGCAATTTAATAAACTGGTGTATGACTATCCAATTCGTATCCCAGAGAGATTTTCTCTTGTTATACGTTCTCTGCTGACTCAAGAGGGTATTTGTTTTACGCTGAAGCCGGATTTTAAATTTCTTGAGGTGATGATGATTTTGCACCTTCCTTTCTTGTTCTTCATTAAATTTTTTTCTTGCTGGAGTATGTTATGGATTATAGTAAATATGAACAGTAGCAAAGAGTATGTTCATTAGGATATTCGCACACAACATAGAATTGATAGCCTGTTGATATGTGAACTGCTGATGTGAAAACAGCGTACCTTTATTTATTTCTTTGAGTTTGTTGGAGGTTTTGTTTTTCTTAGATGTGGGAGTTTGGTACTTAAGTTATGGGAAGTTACTTGCTCTTTTGGGGTAGCTTTACATCCTGTCTTGTCCTGGATATTGCCGCACTATTCTTCAATTTCTTTGTCTGATTTTTTTTTTTTCTTTTTTTCTGTCCGTTTTTTTTCTGTCTGAAATCCCAGAACCACATCCAGGTTAAGGAAATATCAAATTCTAGTTCAGTTTTCAATTCATAGTTAACTGCATAGTAGGAGCTACAACATGTTGAAGAAGAATGTCATTTTGACTGTTATTGTTGTTGGTATTCTCATTATTCTATGACTGCTGGTTATCAATACTTATGAAGATCCCAAAATCTTTAGCAGCTAAAAGTTCCTAAATGTGTATCTACTATCATTTGTGGTGTCTTATGGATCTTAAACACCTGAAAATCATTCCATTTGCGAAGGTATATCAAAGAAGGAAGAAAGAATTCGTGTTCAGAATTAATTACTGTTAGTTTCAAGTGTTCGTTATGTGATTTTATGGGTGTTTTATCTGTCTGAGCAGTTTGTATGAGAATAAATTATGTCAAATTTCAAGTAGTTGTTAAAGTTGACTGAGTCTAGAAAAGTCTAGGAAGACAAGATTAGGCAATTATAGGAGTTACTATATTTGGCAAGAACTGAAACTTCTTCTATTATACATTCCTATATCTAATATGTGAATGTTATGGAAGAAAATTGTTAAGGGTACTGACTATTTATTTGCTCCGGAAATCAAGGATTCTCTCTCAAGAAGTCCTAATTTATGTCCAAAATGAGTAGAGACATGAAAACTTAAATAACTCTCAAAAACTTCTACAGCTATATAAGCCAACCCATTACTAGATTTATTAGCAGTGGACCTACCAATTTGATATCAAAGCCAAAAGTTATAGGGGATTTACATTCTCTGTCATTCCTCAAACTATACCAAGAAGATTGAGATCTGGACCGCATTTAGTTTGATTTATTGGCGGAATGTTTACATGAAGTCTCTAGAGAATCACTGGCTGGTCATACTGCCCCATGTAATTAGAGTTAAGGAATTGTTCATCTCAACAGCAGAGAGTGTCACAATGGCGGTCATGTTGCTGAACATGGGGGATCCTTTATCTCTCAACGCACAAAGCTAGATTTCCAATTTGGTGGTTCATCTTTGTGGATAGAATTCTGCTAGCACTTCTTTCATTTCCAATAGTCCCAAGAAGAGGAGAAAGTCACCCGACATCATTTCATTTTGAAGGAGAAACACAATTGTGGCTTTTCAAACTAGAGCATGATCGACCCGACATCACATAGGAAGAATTTGAGCAGCATTCTCAACTTCATTTCAGCCCTCAAATTCAGAGTAGCAAACTGGGCGAATTGAGAAAATTAAGACAACCTATCACCACGCCTAGAGGTGTTCAAAGTTTGGGTCAGATTGAAACCCATACTGAATGGAACGATTTGGACTGGACTGGATGGAATAATGTTTGAGCAGGTCCTTAATTCAGACATCAACAGACCGGAAAAATTGGTCGTTTTGGTTCGATCCTAGTTTGAACCAAAATGGACGGGTTTGAACCATAAATGCAAAAGTAAATACTAGAAATAATTTTTGTTTTTAATTTTTTATTAGTTCTTATAAATTTTTAATTAGCAAACTAAAAGAAATTCCAATCTATTTTGGTTTAGTCTCAATTGAAAAACACTATGATTTTTTTTTTTGGACCCTTAACCCTTAATTGATACTTAGTTTGTTTTGGTATGTTCCAGTTTCTAAACGATGAACACCCTTAATTGTGTCAGAATACGAAAGACAATTTGAACTTCTACTCGTACAAATTAGTGTGCTAACTTTAGAACCTTATTAAGTGGTTTGAAGGAGAATATTGCGATTGAGGTTGAATTGCAGAACTCGCAAGACTTAACCACCACAATGAGCTTTGGACGTTGTTATGGATTGTTTTTGTACAAACTCACTTTGGAATTAAGTCTTTCTCGGTGCCTTCCTCTTCCCAAAAACCTGGTAGTGAAAAGATTCTCGCTGGCCGAACTCGAGCACCATCAACACAAGGTCTTTGTTTTAACTACTGCAAAAATTTACATTGGTTCACTATAGATTGTTTTGGTTGAAATTGTCTGCCTATTGTACTTGAAATGAGCTGGCTCAAGATGATTTGGATCAAACCAGTGAAAATGTTTTAGATGGATTAGAGATTTCACTCTACAGAATTTTTGTGTTCCACTCTCAAATGATGAAAATTCGTGGATTTTTGGACGGCTACCTGATAGTGGTCCTCGTTGATTTTAGCAGTTCCCACAATCTATTGGGTCTCAACTTAACCACAAAATTCAATTTTTCTGTCAAAGAGGTGTGTGTTAAGCTTCTTGGTTGCTAATGGAGAAAGTGTTTGTAATGTTGGTGTTCGTAAGCATTATCCTTACAATTGGCTAACACCTCCTGCTTGTTGGATTTCTTTTAACTTGCTGGATTTCGCGTATTGTTTGTTATTAATTGGCTGCAAAACTTGGGATCAATTACTTAGGATTTTTAAGTAATAAAGATGATTTTTGTTCACAATTAACAAATTGTGAGTTTGCAAGGCCTATTTGATGGAATTTGAAAGGTTATTTAAAGAGCCACGTGGTCTACCTCTAACTAAGCTTGTAATCACCATATCATGCTATTATCTGATACTCCACCATTAGCTGTATGCCAATATCTTTATCCTCATTTCAAAAGGATGAAATTGAGCAGCAATGTACATCAATGCTGCAATAAGGTCTGATTTGACCAAGCCAATCACCTTTTCATCTCCAGTTCTCTCAGTGTTTTTAGTAGATTGAGCTTGGTGGTTTTGCATTGATTATCAAACTCTGGACCCAAGGATAATTTTCCTTTTCCAATTATCGAGAACTACTGAAAAAATTACATTGAGTCTTCTTTTCACTAAATCTGATCTCCATCTAGGTACCATCAAATTCTTATGGTTTACCAAGATATAAAGAAAAGTCACTTTGAGTTCTTAGTAATACCCTTCGGACTAACTAATACTCCTTTTACTTTAAAATCATTAATGAGTTATAGTTTTTAAAAGTACTTGCGGAAGTTTGTTTTGTTGTTCTTCAATTATATTCTTATATATAGTTAGTCTTAGATATTTTTGAATTGATTATCGAACTTTAACTCTAAAGCAGTCAAGAAGAATTTTCCTATTCCAGTTATTGATGAACTATTGAAGGAATTACATGGAGCCTTCTTTTCACTAAATCTGATTCCATTAAAAAAAAAAAAAACGCTTTCTGTTGTTTTTCGTGTCCATCCTCACCCACGACGCACTGACCACCGTCTCTCACACACCAGCACCAGTTCATAGTCACAGCGGCTCACCATGGAATGATCATCCTGCTCTACAGCTGGCCGCCGCCTCACTTACAGCTGCACTCCACTTCTCACGTACGGCACCATTAGGTTCTCTCACAAGCTCTTTTTGTCTCTCTTGTTGATCCCGGACTTCATTTGCTGTCCTCTGATTAGCTGGCAGTTGAAAGGGAAGAGTCAATGTGACTCAAGGAGATTCCATCTAGAGAGAGAGAGAGAGTCTTACTGTAAGAGAGAGAAAGAATAATGATGGAGCATGGCGTTTCGCAGTGTGGCAGTGGGAGAAGGAAGGCGGTGCAACTGTGGGAAACTCAGGTCAGCAAGCTGCGGCTGGCCAAAAGAACAGAAAGAATGGAGCAGAATGGGCGGAAGTTTCTCATCATTGATAATAAGTCTTTCGATCTGGTACGAGGAGGAAGAAAAATGGAAGGCTTAAGAATAAGTGAAAATGGAAGAGGATTTCATGTATCAAGCTCCCTAGATGAGGAAGAGGTGGCATGGTTGCTGGACGCACTTGAAGATTTTTATTGGTGAAAAGGGGAAAAGACGTGGGAAAAACACACAGCTGGCCGAGACCATAAGCTCTGGATTTCACTTGGCTGAAACAGGAGGAGCTACTTGGTGATAACGGAGGAGAG